TCAAATCACTAACCAATCTAACAACATTGCGCAGTGGAACAACCATTCGAAAGAAAACGAACTAGAACGCTTTCGGCTCATTCCTGACTCTGCTCGAACAGGTTGCATCATTCGAGTCAGTGACAAAATGTGGCGGCTCATTGCACTGTACAATCCACATGCTCACAGTCGGGTACACGCACTATACATCATTGAATCCGAGCACTTCATTCTCTGCAATCCGCGGAAGAAATCCATTCAACATTTCAACAAAGATCTTGCATTTCCAAAACATGCGGCAGTCGATCTAGCACTCCCTAATTTACACTGCTGCTCTCAGTGCCAGTCACTTCTTGACAGACTTGACATTCATGACCGGGTTCTTTGCATTCCGATTCATGCGAAGAACCACTTCAGCTCCGGGGTTCAGTGCATTCGCGACCTGCGAGAGAACAGTCGCTGGTCCTGATCCCGGCGAGGTCATTCCTGCATTCTTCTTGGATGCCGCAGTCGAGGAGGTCGGGGCATTCCAGGCATTCTGGTCCTCACCATCGTCGTCGCCATACATTTCATCCCATGTGGAACAGTCATGTTCCAGGCCCGAACCGTAGGCTTGGCCAGTCGGGACCATTGTGTGTCCCATCAGCCTCCATTCGATCAGGCCATTGTGGGGAATGGTGGCATTCCTGTTCCAGTCCTCCATCTCTGAGAGGCAGAGGAGCTGAGGGCCAGTCCTCGTGTAGCTCATTGCATCATTGTAGGACATTCTGATGATGCCCATGCTCAGTCTGGAGGCCTCAGTCGGCACAATCCAGACCCATCTGCTTGGAACAGTCTTCACCTCATTCTCCACCAAGAATCCATTCTGCGTGTTGATGTGGTCAGTGAACTGTCGGTTGAAATAATTGTTCAACTTTTGCTTCCTGGCTCCAGTGGACACTCCCGTCCGTTCACGGGTAGCTTCTCCAGCCGATCTTCGCCGCAGGATATAAACCAGTCGCTCATACGGAGCATTCTCATCAAACACTCCTTGGCAGTACCATTGCACAGTCTTGCGCATTGCAGCCAGCGCGCAAAAGCTGCCATTCAACTGGTGGCACGGGAAGCGGCTCAAGTCGATCTCGCCAGTCTGGAAGTAGCGTTCTCCAGTGCTTGCTGGCAGGAGAATCCAGTCGTAGACATTCACCAGATCATGGACCAGGTTCTCCTTGACATTCTGGTCCAGGCACCATTTGATCTCCCATTTTCCTTTGGTAAGGAACACTCGCTCAGCTTTGGTCATTGCCCACCATCCAGTCTCCATCATGCACTCATTGACATTGTTGGAAACAGTCGTCCTGATTCCCAGAGAGTTCATTCGCAATCTCAGGCTGGACATTGGACCAGTGCTGTGCTCGTCCGGGCGATCAAATCGACATCCAGACAGTCCTCCACTCCTGGTGCCCGGCAAGAGGATGGACAGGATGGGGCATTCGTCGCTCCATTCCCGCTTGTACACAGCCTCTGCCAGTGCAAGCTGGGCCTTCTTCAGTCGGTCAGCAACCTTGATTCTTTCATTCTCAATCTTCTCAAGCTCTTCCTGGCGGTCGACAGTGACGAAGTCATCCAATCTTCGCCAAATCTTCTTCACATCAGATCCACAGTCCATCAAGTCCAAGGCATGATCGAGACACTTCATTGTTCACAGTGCCATTCCTCTACAATCGATGCGGCTGCACCGTCTCACACATCATGTGTGTCAACATTCGGCCCACTCGGCCGAGGCCTGATTCCCATTGCAGCATCAATCTGCTGAGAGCCAGTCAGGTCCATTGGGACTTCCACGACAAGCACTCCGCCTGCATTCGGATCGGGAGACACTCTGGTGAAGGCAGTCGGGCGAACAAAGGATTCGCCAGTCGCCAGTCGAATCAGGTCTTCGCGATCCTCAGGCACTCTTCCAGCCAGGTGCAGTGCAACCAGTGAGGATTGCACTCCATTCTCCTTCACTTCTTCAACAGGCATTCCCATCAAGTCGGCAACCTGTTGCGCCAACTCGTCTCCAGTCATCTCCTCATACCGGAGTTCTGGGACAGTCTCCAAGGCTGGGGTGGCTGCCATTGCTACAGTCAGGCAAGGAGGCAGTCGCACAGGCAATCCGAGCAGTTTACAGTCGCACTAAGGAAGCAATCAGAGGAAACATTTCGAGGAAACACATTGATCTCACTCAACAAAGCATTGTCTCAGACAGTCCCTTGCACGGCACTTGCAATCACTCGACATTCGACGAGAAAAGGATCGAAGAAAACATTTTCGAAGGATCTCACTCGAGATCGGAAACTCGAAACTTTCTTTGCTTTCGATAAACATTTTTTCAGGTCGGAAAACTCACTCAAAAACTTCTCTCATTCTCTCACACTCTCTTT